AGATACCATCAGAATCACTCCACCATCACCAACAAATTCACTCCAAATCTAGAGGAAAGAGAACTTCTGGAGGCTAGTTGTTTGGGATTTACTCCTTATAAAATAGTTCTTTCTAGACACCAGCATGGTCAGTACTCTTCGACTGTTGGTGTGAAGAGTTAGCAAGTGACTGTATACTTACAAATCCTGGATTCTGATTCAGTAAGTCTGGTGTTGGCCCAAAGTCTTGCATGTCTACAAGCTCCTGACACATGTCCACACTGCTCCTGAACAGAGTGACAAGTGGGACAAGCAATAGGCCTACTTGCTGGTCTTGTTCTTTATGTTTGCCTGCCATGGACTTGAAAAGCTCAAGTCAGCACTTACTCCCAAAAGAGAGATACGAAATCCTAACCCTAATTCATTCCTGCCTAGAAATCTGGTTTTCTCTTGCTGCCTGTCTCTGCAGCTAGTGGACAGGCGATGGTGTAGGCTGAAATGGCTTCTGGAAGAAGGGCAGTTGTGACAGCTATTCAGTATATTTTCTTCCATGGGGAATTTCATATTCATAGGGGAAAAGAGGGAAAAATTCTTTTGCTTTGGGAAAAAGTCTAGCCAAAGACCAGGTTGTAGCAAAATCTCTGAAGAAGCCAGCCCAGAAGCAGCACAGAGATCAGAGAACAGCAGAAAGCCCCTGGTCCTATCTGTATTTGGTCCACCCATCAAACTTTATTTCTTTCCTTCTTCCCTCTCTTGCAGCTTCCTTTCGTGTGAGCCATGGCTGCATATCCAAATCAACAATTAAATCCCCCCTTTGTTTGTGTGGCAGATGACAAATGCATGGAGGACATCTTGTGTTGCCTAGGCAGGCAGGGCACTTACTTTGATTGATGCTCAGTTGTAGAAAAAAATGAGCTGGGAAGGAATTACAATGGAGGGCCTGCAGACTGGAAGGGGATATACTAATTAGTCCTGCATTAAGCAGTCTGCTTGCATTTGGCGATGAGATGCCTTCAGGAGGGAAGTGTAGGGGTTATTGATGCAAAACAGCATGGAATGCATTATGCCAGGTAGCTGTGTATTCATTTAGCTAAAAAATGTATTAAGAAGCAAATACCTTGGCTACCCTGTATTTTTAAACACTCACCCTCAAGTATATTGGGGTCAGTCAAGCTTTTTATCTCCACTTGGTCCTGTAGGCAACAGGGCAGCCCTTTTGTTTCTCTGGAAAGACTTCCAGAGTTTTTTCATCTTGGGTAAGGTACTGAGGAGGTGAAGCTGCTACCTTATCTACAGTTCACGTTTCTTTTTGCTGAGTCCCCCTGCAGAGTCTTGAGTCTTGGTGGAACACAATGGCACACGTGAAAGACAGACACACCCCTTGTTAAGGGTTTAGAGGTTGTTGATTTGACCCAGAAAGAACCCGAGGGGTGGGGTGCATTAAGACAAACAGCTTAGACACTAGGCAAAGGCTTCGTTAGGAATAAAAACCATGCAAAGCACATGCCTGCATTTGGCTCAGCAGTCCATGTTTTAGGTTATAGGCAGATGGAGTGTTTTGTGGTGAAACATCTCATAATTCAAGGGTGACCCAGATACTCTAGGTAGCTGAAACATGTGATCTAGGGGACATGAATGGTCACCTCTAGGTCACTGTCTCCTAAGCAATGGAAGACCAGAGGGCAGTGGAGAGAGAAAGGTCCCCAAATAATCTCTGCCATATGCAGTTTAAAATTCAAACCTTGAAATGCTGATTTAGTCAATTTGACCTGAAGAACCAATGAAACTGGGCTTAATGAAAAGAAGTCACAGAGGTCTTTTGTCACAGCGGGAAATAAACAGACATGAAACTTGCATGACTTCAGAGACATGGTCACTAGGTAAACTAAACTTGAGCTCCTGGTAATCCTCCTGCTTCTGCCTCTCTGCAAGGATTACAGATAGGAGCCACCAAACCCCACTAACAATGTGTCTCTGTATGTTGAGATCTGTCTAGCTCACACCAGGCACCTTGAACTTGTCCAGTGGGAAGCAGATGGTCCCATGTCCTTGGCTCCTTTTCTGAGTAATCTGAGCCTGGTGCAGCCGAGATGTCTCTTCACTGTTCTGAATCTAGGGATCTATACTGAGAAAAGATGCCAGTGATAAAGATATGATTTCTAGTCCTCAAAGACGGCTGAGCCCCCTTTTCTAAGTTTTATCTATGACTCAGAGCATAAGACAGATACGAGAATATCTGAAGTATGATCAGATGTCTAAAACCAGCCTTCCACAGACAGACCAGGAACTGTGCCAACAGCTCTAGGAAGAAAAGCTAAATAGTTAATGTGGTTTATTTTTTAACCATCCCTTTGTTTTAGAATTCTATCTTATTCTTGAACTGATTCTATGTCACTGTGACCTTCTCCTGCCAGGAAGGCACAGTTGAGGCCTCCTTCAGTAATAGCCTAGGGCTTTGGACAAGCAAGATGCTGTGCTGGCTCCTTGCCTTTTCCAGTGTTTACACAACCAAGACTTATTACATGCTCTGTCATTTGTTACTGGGCTGGCTTTGGTCTGAGAATTAGGTAAACATCAGACATTCCATCACACAATTTTAAACTCAATCTTACTTTATAATGATGTTAATGTTTATTGTACCAAGCGCGATGCATTTGTATATTTCAGCATCTTATTTCAGATACAGAATGCAAAACCTGACATTGGAATCAGCTTGATGTGTGTGTGTGTGTGTGTGTGTGTGTGTGTGTGTGTGTGTGTGTATGTGTGTGTGATTGAAGATATTAAGCACTACAAGAACATTGGAATTTCAATCTGATTAGGATCAAAATTCTGCAGGATCAAAACACTCCTTTTCCTCCCCCTACAGTTTGACTAATTGTGCACTACTTGACATTGTGGGGTTACTCCACAGCATGATAGCTAAATATGTGAAGTGTATTTTACTGTGTGGAATTATCAGCTCACTCTATTTGTTTTTCATGTGTTTAAGGTTATTAAAAGAACTCAAAATGAGAAGTCATGTGTACAAGTTAAAAGTATGAACTCAATCATTGTTAGTAGACTAAATCATAAAGCAATAGCCAGTAAGTCAATATCAAGTAATGAAAAAAAATCACAGAATTTGAAAGCATACTTTTCCTGTTTATTAGCTGGCAAGATAGCAGGGAAATTAGAACTACATAATGGCAGTATAGTTTATTTTCCAGCACTTTTAAATTATTCTGGCTACTGAAAGTAAGACAAGAGTATATGGGAAAGGATGACATCAGGCATATTTGTTGGAGACTTTTGCCTTTTGGGAAGACATGAGATGCATGGCCTTGCACTCCTCAGGAATTGTGTTTCTTCAAGCTGTGTGTCAATTCTGAGAGAAACAACTTGGCATCTTCAAATAAGGTCCAAGGATGACAAAGATCTTTTAAAATTACCACCAGGTTTCTGAATTTAGACCTTAATTAAGGCTGGAAAATGAGAAAGCACTCCTTGCTCCAGCCCTACCCCAAAATGGGGGGGTAGTGTTGGGGGTCAGTGTCTTGAAAACAAAAAAGTCTGTATGCCTGGCCTGTGGCATTCCAGAAATACATCCTCCGGTCCCTTCAGAGATTTGTATTTTCTACATTTTTTCCTGAATTCCAGGCAACAAAGAACCTGATGTTTCTGTTCAGGAAATAGCACCATTTTCTCCCCCAATTAATTGAAGAGCCATCTGCTTCTGTGATACATGACACCCATTCATTCTTAGCAACAAGTGTGTTCCTGGACTCCCTGGTGAGCAATATCAAGGCACGTGCCCAGCGTTGGGAGTAGACTGTACTAGATAGCAGTCACGAACTGGCTGTTCCCAGAGACACATAGATAGACTCTGACATTGACTTTGGTCCCATATCAGTGTTGCTAAGGTAGAGTTAAAAACACAGTACCATGATGCTGACCATGCAGAGACTTGGGCTAGCTTAGTCTTCATTGGGCTTTGAAGAACATAGTTGAATGTGAAGAACTGATTGCAAAAGACTGGATTTCTGAGGAGTAGCTCTCCTCAACTGTGACAAGAAGGGGCAAAGACTACCATGCTTATCTTTGTGACATAAAGCCTTCATCTTGAACTGGAATATGTCATGGGTAGCACTTTGTATGTATTGAAAATTAGACTTCCGAAGTGTGTAGAATCTTCCAAGAATGTAGCTAGTAGAGCTCATCTTTCAGGAAGTCCATAGAATGGTCGTATATTCAGAAGAGGGAACTTCCACAAGTTCACAGCTTTCTGGACCTTTTCTGTACAGAAGCAGGCTGGTGGGCTCTGATAGAAACTTGTTTGCTAAGTCTGTATGTGAGTTGTTGATGAGACTCTACCAGAGCATGGCTGCTCCTGACTCCCATGCTATATATAATAGAAGGCCCACGTGAGTTCAGTCTGAAGTGAGGAGACCAGCAAGACTCAAAGAGTGAACACCAGTTTCTTACTTCCAGGAGTGGAAACTGGAAGCAAAGACTCCTCTGTGTGAACCTCTTTCTAGAAAGACAGTGATGTTGACAGTTGCTGCCATCTTGCAATGTGCTCTGTCCCTGCCCCCAGTGGACTTTGTCCTTACCCAGTTTTTGTGGCTAGGCAAGTAGGCATTTTTACGAGGCCCTGGCATATTTGAACTTGTCTTCACCCATGTATGGTTTGAAACTGAAACCACAAATTTCAAAGTGGAAATTGCTGTCTAGAAAATGAAAGGGTCAAGGAGGCATTTAAGACAGAGGTTCTTTCTACCTACTTCCTGTGAGAGAAAGCTCAAGAGACCACACAATTCTGGATGAGTGCCTAGAAATCACACAATTTCTCAGGGCCCAAGGTCCAGCTTTCAATATAATACCAATGCCAGCTGAAATTATTTATATCTCACTTCCACTGTGTGACAGTCATTTCAGATATTGACAGGAGACAAGAGGAAGGTCAGCACTGAGCCCCATGATATCAGAGAGCAACAGACAAATGGCACAAGCACAGGCTACCCCCTTATAAGGGTACTTACAGTCCAGGTGACTGTGCCTGATGCCTTCCACATCTTCGGCATGGATGAAGTGGTAACATCTTTTTCCTACGATGTCTACAGGGGTCAGATCCATGTAGTCACTAATCCTGTGAAAAGGATAACACAGATTGGAACCCAGAAAGTAGCAAAGCAGAAAGAGAGAGAGAGAGAGACTGTCAAATAATGCATGATGCCGATGGAACAATGTTTTTATCATGCTGAGTACCTTCAAGGATGAGGCAATCGGTGCAAACACTCTGAGCAGAGGGAGAAGATTATTTCTGTAGCAGATAACAACACTTTTCAAAATTTGGATATGTGCTAGATCAAGCAATTGCATTAAGTAATTAGGTAGGTTTTTCCTTGGCATCAGAACACACATTTAGACAACGTAATTCCGTGAAATTATTGAGGAACTGTAACAATGCAGGATCCTCATTACAGGCCAAGATAATTCAAGGTTACATAATAAAATAAAAACATGTTATGTTTATACCAAATGATTAGAGACACCTTTCATTTAAGCAGATTGGTCTACTGTTGGGTATTTCCATGAAAAAGGGATTCAACTGCTTCTTGGCACAAAGTCCAAATTGGCATTTCAAGGGATATAATTTAAATGCCGAGACATACAGATGCCTGGGGGTATTATCTTTTTTAGTCTCAGTCATTTGGGAGCTCAGCTTTCACTCCTGGCTCTTTTAACTAGTGCTTTGTGGTAGACGCTACACAGAAACTTTTAAACCATTTCAGCAGCTCTTCTGGGCCTGCACTTGACAGTATGTGTGTACCAGTGTCTGCCCAGCGTCCTCAGGCAGGGCACAGAAAAATAGAACCCAAACGATACAACACATAGGGGGAATCTGCCTTGTTTATATAGACATGTATAAAATGCTTATTGACTGCTGCATCATTCATTTTGGTTGGTATAAACATAGATTTTGTTTTATTTTATTGTCCCTTTAAAATTACTGACGACATAGAATCTATTCACACGTGAAGCAAATATCTGGAAATACACCTTTAAGAGACATGGGATCAGTAATGGGGAATTATGTCTGAACCACGAGACAGGGAACTCAGAAGCAATGCTGATACAAAAATGCTACAGAGTTAGCTGGACATGGTGGCACACGCCTGTAAAACCAGCACTCGGGAGGGAGAGGCAGGAGGATCTTTGTGGGTTTGAGGGTAGCCTAATCTACATAGCGAGTCCCAGGATAGTCACAACTAAATAGTGAGACCCTGTCTTGAAAAAAACAAAACAAACAAACAAAATGCTTTGGGGGTATAATTAAGATATACCACTCCACGAGGTGAGTAGATGTCTCAGTATCTAGTGATTGAATCAACCTCTCTGGCTAAACTAGAATTCACAGTAAGAGAAGATTCCTTGGGGAATGAAAAGATCTTGGAAGCTTTGTGGTATAAAACAGATTGGTTGTTTTGTTTGTTAGCTTGTTTTCCAATTACAGTTAACATCCCTTTCTGCAAAAACAAAACAATATAAAAACAAACAAACAAACAAAAACCAAACGAACAACAAAAACTCAGGGAGGCAGAGAGTCATTAAAAGGCCCTCCTCCCTGGTGTCTGTGAAACCTGCCAGCTCCTGAAAGCATTAGATGTTAGCTGTGTCCTGGACCATCCTAAAGACTGCAGAAGACTTGCCAAGGAGCAAGCTAGTTCATAGTTAACAATTCCCTAATTGAATAATAAACTCTGGAGAAAGCCAGGCCATTCTTTGGGGAAGGCATTCTTTGGTTAACTCTTCATTTGAATGAAAACCTTAAAAAAAAAATTCAGGATCAAGCCTCTTCAATAGACCAGAGGCTGTTGAATGTGACCAGTTCAGGAGTAAAGCTGCGGAAGGCTGGAAGCAGAACTATCTTTTTCCATCCTTGTTCCCTCACCTGTAAGTAACTTCAGGATTTAGTGAATGGAGTGAAATTAGCGATGCCCAGAGCTTGGCCCATGGCAGTGTTTCTGTAAACTGAATATGTAATTACACCTCACTAAAGGACTTTTCAGAATTGCTGTCATCTTCTGTTGGGAAACAATGATGTATTGCATTGGTTAACGGTTTTGTTTTGTTTTGTTTTGAAAAAAATCTAAGAGCAGGTTACAGAAAACAATCTCAATTTCTAGAATAGGATATTGGAAGCTTGTTAAAAAAATGAGTCACTTGATCAGAGCAATGAAAGTTAGTGACATTTTTGGATAGGATTGAAAGTTAGTGACATTTTGGGATAGGACAACTGTTGGAAATTTGGCAAGGGAGTGGAGACAGATTTTTGGAGGTTGTGGTGATGGTGGAGCTGAACCAAACCTGAGGTGTGTTCATCTTCTGGCAACATGTCTCCTTTTTGTTGGTCTCCACTGTGTCACATCTTAATTTAGAGACTAACGGGTTTGTAAATGCTAACTGCGTTCATCTACTGTGTATATATGAAAAGTTCCCCTCAGGGGTTGTTTTTCACTCTGCCACTAAAGAAACATAGGAGAATGGGAGACCTCACAGCATATTGTTAAGTCAGGGCCTTGGGACTTCTCCCACTTCGAACTGAAACTGCCCAGGCTGACAAAAGCAGTTGTAGTACTCACCTTGGGGAACAGGGGGAAACGGGGCTGCAGGGTGACTAGCAGACTCGTGGCCCAGCAGGCACAGGTACTCATTAAAATGAGTTCCCACTGTGTACTCCTGCTTAACCCTTCTCTCTGACTAACTTGTCCTTCCTGACCTCCTGTGTCCCCTGACCTCCTGTGTCCCCTGCAGAACAATCGGGACACACCCAAATCACAACGAAGATTTTTTAAGTGCCAACAGAACTTGAGCAGATTTAGAATTACTTACTGCATAACAGTTACAGGTCGAGATACTGTCTATGCTACTAAGCCTCAGAGCTCAGGGAATGCTTGGCTCTTGCTGGAACCAGGAGACCGTTTCTACAGTGATCTCAGCTTTTGGCTTTAGTAGTCCTTCCTAGTGGACTGGGTGGACACAGGTGCTTTTGGATGTCCTCTTGGCTAGACTCAGAAGAGGTTAATTACCCAAGCCACTTGACCATTCTGCTCTCCCATTTCCCCTCTGAATGCCTTCCCCTCTGAAGGCATTCACAGGGCTCAGGGCTCATTGCACTGCCTTCAAACCTGACAACAGTCTATGGCCCCAAAGCTTCATTGCTCAACTACCTCAGTAACTCTCCTTGCAGCACCAGGGGATAGGCAGTTTTGGCATGCTGCTTTCTCAAGACTGATACATGGGCAGCCCCTGTCCATCCCTCTCCCTGCATCCCTGTTCTGCCTTCAGTCAGATGGGCTGGTGACTTCTGGGTGAAAGGCCAGAAGGTACTCGGTCTTCCATCACTGTCTCTTGCTTTGTGCTTAATGGAAAAAGTGAACTCTCAAAGTTGAGGCTAAAAAGTCCCTTTTGTAAAAGCTTAGTCTTGGGGAAGAACTGCCAACTCATTTCTAGGATGAGTCATCTTTTAATTTGGCTTAGTCTTGGGGAAGAACTGCCAACTCATTTCTAGGATGAGTCATCTTCTTTTAATTTATAAAAGAGAAATCCTCGGGATGACAAAGTTTTATTTAATAGTGTTGCAAATTCCTTTTGCAGCAGATTTCCTCTGGGGGCCTCAGATTCTCATTTGTCCTGTGCTACACGTCCATGGGGACACTGCCCGTCAGATGCAGGGCCCTTGAATTAGTGGGAAGCAGGTCACCCAGAGGCATAGGAGAGGCCTTTTACTGCATCATTTTGCCAATAACGTCTCAGCCCTGCTCTCTACTTGGGTCCTCAGCCAAAATGGGCCTTTTATTTATTTTATTTTATTTTTTTTTATAGCGGATGGATGTCTGGGTATCCCAATTCATTCAATTGTTGTCCCAAATGTAAATCAGGGAAGCAATGTAAATTTTAAATAAAGAGCATGTTTGGTGTCAGTCCAAGCAGCCATTAAAAACAAGATCAGGATTTATAATGAGCCTCACTGGGAAAGTAAAATCTTTCAGGCAGCTGAAAGCAAACCTTCACCAATGGGCAGTGTGCAATGGGCAAATGAAAATGAAAACAAAGTACCTATTTTCACAGTAAATGATATTGAGGTCCATGTTTACTCGAGTGACGAACATATGGCAGTCAATTCTGACTTCATTGATCGTAGGCGGAGGCAAGGCATGAGCCACCACCACGAGTCCCATGATTTGGCTGGGGACTGTCCTCCCGTGGGACAGCGACACTCTGAGGCGAAGCCGGCCTGTTATGTGAATCACCTGAAAAAAAAAAAAATACAGGACATCAGTCAGATGTGTATCTCAGAAGTAAAGGTTGTTTCTTCTAGAGGAGGAAAACTCTCATTGGGAGAACCAATACTAGGTCATATCTTCTATAGTATAGTGGCTGTCAGCGTGCCCTCTATGTACTCTTGGTGAAGAACACATACTATTAGAGTTTTCCAGGTAGCATTATTATAGTGTTGTGCTTTTTTTTTTAAGGGTCCTCTCTTCGGAATTTATAGAAAATTCATCATCACATCATAAGCCTAAGATGCTTGCTTGGAGCTGGCTGTAGAGGGACATGTTTGAATTATTCGCCCTTGTTAATAAAAGATGTCCATCTCTCTCCGATTTGGGGGTGAAAGAGACTACATACCCACCTGCTTTCTGGAGTTCATGGCTCAGAGATTTCCTTCCTTCAGAACAAGTCAGTGATTTATTTATTTATTGTTTTTTTTTACAAAAGTCAGATTGAGGGCTACGGCATAAATGGACTCTTTGGATTATGGACATTTCTCATTGGACTGTACTGGGTTAGCAGGAGTTTTGAGATTGATGGTTGGGGATGGGTGGCAGTTGGCCTGTGATGCATTCCTTGAGCCCATGCTCAGAAGAGTCAGAATGATGCACACCATGTTCGTGGCATCTCAGATGACTTGCCTAGGAACTCCAGGAGGAATATCGGGCTGAATTGTTTGCTTTATCAGCTGAAGTGTATACACCACCCAGAGTCCTCAGAGGAGAACCACAGGGTCCACTTCTAGAAATGATGGAATAGACAAACAGCTACAAACGGTGAAAACTATGAAGGGTTTCTATGGCTATGCTTTGAGAAGATAGATAGAAATGGGGTGTGTCTGTCAGGGCTTGGAAATACGATCGCATGAGTGTGACTGCGCATGCGTGAACTCATGCTGCATCCCGAGGCCCCTGTTGTGTGTGGGATCATCTAAAACAAGACCGAACAAGAGACTCCCGGGGTTCACTCTACAAGGAGTCCTGTTTAGTGGCGGAGTTTCCACATTTGCTTGCTCTCCAAATCCATTATAGAGCATCTCACCACCTATCAAGATTCCAATTCTGCTACCTTACCATGAGGAAGCAAAGAGGGGAGTAGGTCCCCCTCTCCTTGCCTTGCCTTGCCTTGCCTCTCCAGAACAATACAATACCATCTGGAGTCTGCTCTCCTTCCCAGGGGCTGGACCAGAAATTCCTTTTTCATTTTATTTTTTGCTTCTCTTAAGTTATTCTGTTTTCCAAAAGCAATGCACACTCCTGTCAGTCAGGAAGCGGGATCAAAGCTTCCGGGGCTGCCCTTCAGAGTCCTGGCTGTTGTAAATAATACCTCTTCTCTGTCACCCTTCACATGAGCGCCCAGAGCCGAGGAGCGGGAGACACCAGCCAGGAGGATTATTTAGGTTATTTCAGCAGTGGCTTTTCGACCACCCACATTTGAAGTTGAGTAAATTCATACTTAATGCACCTTTGCTTTAAGCTTTGGTCAGATGAGCCACTTTATGAATATTTGAAACGGTTCCTGGAGGCAAGGGTGCTAAAACTCCATCAGAGACACACTTTTTTTTTTTTTTTTTTTTTGCAAGACCTCATTAACTAATAAAGAAATAGCTAAAAGAAACAGGATTAACTTCACAGGAGGGGTGTTACAGCCCCGTCCTCCTCCCAGCTAGGCTTACATAGATGCTCATTTATCATGATCTGTCTTGTTTTATCAGGAAAACTCAGCTTAGAAACAGATCTATAAATGCACAGAAAAACACACCCAGAAATGATATGCCAAATAATCCCTGCTTGATATTCTACTCTAAAGCAATTTCAGGGCATCTGGGCTGGAGCGCATTTAGGGAAGGCAGATGAGGAGGTGTTCCTGCATTGTCTTTGTCTGTCCTCTGAGCTCTAAGCTTGACCTGGCCACCCTGCTACTGTAGGACAGACAAGACAGGGTCCAGCTGGATCTAGACTTACAATTTTCTGGTTCTGTTACCAGAGGCAAGCCATGCAGCCTCCCTGTGTCTCATTTTTCTCCCTGGGAAATGGGAATAACAGTGACTATTTCACAGTGGCAATCTGAAAAGAAAGGAGGGCATGGACGTAGATGCTCTATAATTGTTAAAGGATTCTCTGATGTTTAAATGCTATCTATATATTATCTTTATCTTTAACATCAAGCAATAAGGGCCAAGTATCTATTTAGTGATGGCCAAATATCTTATTTCTGGATAGTTTATAACATTTCATATCTGGATGAAAATGTGAATTTTTCCACTCTTTAGGTAAGGGTCTGAGAAATCCATTGCTTGCCCAGTCACTTAGCTTATAAATGGCAAGTTGCCTGGAGCCTAGCTTTCTGGGTTTTGTGCAAGTGTCATTTGAACACTATTATGCCTGATGGTTATTTTTAATGTTCATACTCTTACTGAATGAAGCATTAGAATTATATGCCAGATGGCAGCTTGCTGCTGCCCTGAGTAAAGTCCATGAATCTTCAGAACCATTTTACTTATAACCCAAAGCTCAGGGAAGTTCTGGGATGCTGCACAAACTATGAAGTAAAAAGAAAAGAGAAAGGGCAGGATTGAAAGGGTTCTTTTGGATCTCATGATTACATTTTAGGGTTAATACATTTTTCCCGAACCTATTTCATAATGCTTTTTACCTCTATGTGACAGGTTATGTTCAGATTCAGAATGAGCCTCATAGCATTCATACAAACATGTAGAGAGCTACTTTTTAAAAAATAATTTCGTTGTTGACTTTAGGCTTAAGAGGTAAAAGAACAAGGGTTGTCAAGAGGGCCTGGGTTCAAACCCTAGCTCTGATATTTAATGATATCAAGAGAACTGAAACAATTCAGTCACTAAATAAGATATTAAAAGCCTGCCATAAAGAGAACAAATGCATGTATCCCTCTGTATCGAGGCATTGGCCCTAGGACTCCCTAAAATACTGAAATCTGAATATAATTCATAATCCTCCATTTTGAAGTAGGGCACAGGCTGACCTCAAACTCACTATCCTCCTGCCTCAGCCTCCTGAATGCTAGAGTTACACATCAACACTTGGCCCATCTTTTAAGTTCTTTGTATAGTATAGTATTTGCACAGATCCTGTGCGTATTCTCCTGCACATGCTAAGTTAGGCCTAGATTACTTTTACTATCTAATATAAAATGACAAGGGGAAAATCTGTACATATTCAGTGCAGATGTGATGCCTTTCCCCCACATATTTGCTCTATGTCTTTGGCTCAATCTTTGGATGTGGGATCTATAGATGCAGTGGGTCAGCTGTCCTTGGTGAAGATTCTCTCTCTCTCTCTCTCTCTCTCTGTGAGGTTGAAGAAAGGTGTGTGTGAGAGAAAGAGAGAGAGAGAGATCGAGAGATCGAGAGATCGAGAGATCTTGCTGGGTGCCAGAGAACAGACCACAGGGATTCCAATATGACCTCATCTTCAAGGAGTTTAGATGGAGTCAAGGCAAACACATGTAATTTCTTCAGTATGTTCACAAGCAAGAGACGATGCAGTTCGAGAGATCGAGAGATCTTGCTGGGTGCCAGAGAACAGACCACAGGGATTCCAATATGACTTCATCTTCAAGGAGTTTAGATGGAGTCAAGGCAAACACATGTAATTTCTTCAGTATGTTCACAAGCAAGAGACGATGCAGTTGCTGACAAAGACAGTGGCTCTCAATCCTAGTTTTGTTTTGTGACACCCTCACCTCTAGATTCCCAGTCTTTCTCCCTGGGACCTGGCAATTCTTCGAGAAGCCTCAGAGAGAATGCTAACAACTGAAGAACACCTGGAGTTACACCAGTGGTTCTTTACCTTGATACACAGTGAGATCACCAAGAATGGCTCTCAAAGTCTCCACAGCTGTACCCAAGGTCAAATAAACCAGGGTCTCAGGGAGTGGGCCCTGGCATCAACGTTTGCATTTAGGTCTTCCAGGCCACTGAGAGGATTGAGTGGAAATGTATATTAATTTACGTCTGGCCTAGTAAGTGCGTTCCTAAGAAAATGATGACAATTTTTTTGTGAGTGCATGGCAGGAAAACAAGTTTTGGCTAAATAGAATAGGAAGACTATGTGAGACTGATATTATATTGTTGACATAGGGTAGATCAGGGGACAGTCAGATAAAAACACCACAACAAAGCACAGGAAAAGGGAAGCTGTGGGGAGATCCCAGGGCTCCAGGGATGTTTCAGTTGGCATGGCAGCAGAAGGGGCAGAGGTGAATCCCAAATTTCCATAGAAGTTGGGAAAAGAGATCATGCCATCACTCTTTGTGTGTGTGTGTGTGTGTGTGTGTGTGTGTGTGTGTGTGGTATGGTGGGTATGGCATGTGCACATGTAGGCACACATTTGTATGTGTGCATGCTATGTTTGGAGATCAGAGGTCAATGTTGAGTGTCTTCCTTCACTGAAACTGGGACTCAGCCATGCAGTGAGGTAGCTGGCCAGTGAACTCTAGGGACCCTCCTGTCTGTACATGCCTAGGGGTGGGGTTACATACTTGTGCTGCAGTGCTTGATTGGCTGAGCTGTCTGCTATGTGCCATACCATGACTTCTAAGCCTGTGTCACAGCACAGAAATGGCAATGGCAAGTGGGAATACAGGTACATTTGGCCAATGTGAAGACATACATGATTTCCCTGGGATCAGTCTGTGTTTAACATCTTGGGGAGATGGAGAAGGTGCCCAGGAGTTGATGAACAGTAAGAGATGTGTATTTAATGATGGTGACAATTGAATGTATTGTTCTGGAAGGTTCTTTTCCCTTGGAGATGACAGTTAAAACTAAGAAACCCAATGAAATTATCAGTGGAGAAAACAGAGATAGGAGGAAAATGCCAAAGGCCTTTTTTTGGGGGTCCCTTTGAGTACCCGAAGCCTAAGGCAATTTTCTTTTCTAAGTAGAAGCTCCCTTACTCTATAACAGTTGGAGAGTCCTCTCTTATCTGCACACATTTAA